GCCCCCCTGCTGGGGGGTCTGATCCCCAAAACCAGCTGTGGGGGGCGGCGCTGAGGTGAAGGTCCACGCTCTGAGGTGCCGTCTGCGACGCCGATGTCCTCCACTCACGTTCCACCCGGAGACGCGTCTGTCCTCGGCGGACATCGGGATTCCGAGGTGTTTGTCACACATCGACGATAATGTGCACAACGTGGAAATGATATTGTAGGAAAAAAGGGGATTGAAGGAATGGAGTGATCATAAATAAAGATTCATTCACTTACATGGTCCAGAAAAATGCTCCATACATAAAGTATATCATTATATTACTACAGTTGTTGTTTATTCACTGGACAATTAAGTACATAAATAAGTTCAGTAAATGTGTATGAAGACCTTTGAGTATGAACCGGTAACTCTCAGGTTACGTGTGCGTGTGTGTAAACAGTCATCAGTGTGCGTTGTGTGATGAGAGGCTGACAGGAAGGGAGTGTGTCGCTCATGTCTTTCATCTGGAAACGCAGGATTTAGGAAGAGGAAACTGCAAACACTCATTTCTGTCCCGCGATGCTCTTTGATGTCTCGCGGTCGACTGTTGCAGCGAATGTGTTTCCGGCTTCAGGTTCAGACTCACACCTGAAGCTGAAGAGAAACACGCAGACAGGGAACCAACAAGGACGGGTCGGTTCTGCTCCTGCATCGTCACACGGTGTTCAGCGATCGATCATTTAACTCAGAGAATCCAACCTTTTATACACGTGGCGTGTTCGGTCCTGCCTCACACCTGGGGGGGGCGGAGCTTCAGCGAGTAAAGCCAGGTAAAGCTTCAGTGTTTCATCCTGCTGCCTCAGACCGGAGGAAACACTGCAGCAGCATCTGAAGGTGAGACAAAGACGCATCATCTCATTACACTTTACCATGATTCATATGATATATATACACACACGTATGTACATAGACACACATGTATGTACTCACTTTAATCTGTCCGTCGAATCTCAGTCTTTAATAATGTTAAATTTAACTCAACGATCAGTTGGGGAAAGAATGTTTACTCACTTAAGTAAAGTTCTAAGATACTTGTACTGCACATTATACATACGTGTGTTGTATACCGTTTTATAATTTGCTTCTATTCCATTGACTCTCACAGGGAACAGATGTACATTACATTACATTACATTACATGTCATTTAGCTGACGCTTTTATCCAAAGCGACGTACAATAAGTGCATTCAACCATAGGGTACATTTTTAACACTAGTTTCACGACAGCTTTAGTTATTTTGAACATTTGAGGCTTTATGAAGTTTTTAAACTCCACAGGCGGTCGAGTGTGAAGTCATCAAATCGGCTCCACCTTTACCAGCTGAACCATTAAAGTCAACATTAATGACTAATACAATGCTTTCATACTACGCAGACAATATATTGTTTATGATTAATTTCTTTGCTTCTTTACTTTACTTTTACTAAACTAAAAAATTTAAGATGGAGGAATATTCCTACACTGTAAGTACTAAAAGTAAGACAGTGTTTTATAAGATATTTGTGGGCAAAAACAAGTTATTTATTTCCCTGTGTTGAGCTTCTCTTTTAGGACTCAATCTGTCTCCACGTTGTCATGGTGACGACTTACAGCGTTAGCTGGAGAGCTGCTGTAGCTGAGCGCTAGCGGCTAACATGCTAGATGGGAGGGCGCCACTCAGGCTTTTCATTGTCTGCGTGTTCACTTTGCATCGAGCGGGACGTCTGCTGTGCGCTAACGGCGTGTTACTTAGAGGACGAACATAACAAACATGGTCGCTTGCTACGAGCCACGATAGCTTCATCCTGCTGAAATCTCAACAGCTGATTAATGAAGTTATTAAAAGGTGTGAAACTAAAGGCAGCTGAAGTGATGGAGCTTCCCCGCCCGTCTCTCCTAAACAACAGACAAAAAGCAGATTTTCACCGGGACACCAAAGTGTCTCGAAATGTTTGTCAAAATGACAAAAAATGAAGGTGCGGAGTTCTTGATGAGCTCATGTCTCCTCCTGGAATCCTAAACCAAGCCAACCTTCCCTCCTATTAAAGGAGTTGGAAGAAGAGCTTCCGGTTGAATTGAACACATTTCGATACCGAGCTTCTGGTTTCTTCTAACAATGACTTCTGATTGGTTCCCCACGGTGTCCCAGCGGGACTCTTTAACGGCGCCGTGTCCTCTGCACTACGATAAACACGCGATCCTCTGCAGCCGCGTGAATCTTGTGCGTGCGTTTGTCTCTGGGCAGGATGGAGCTCCAGTGAGGCCCGCGCTGCGCTAGCAGGTCCCACCATGAGCGCCACCTTCTCTCCTCCGTCTTACCTGAGCTTCGGCGTGTCTCCCCCCTCCGGCCACCGGGAGGATCGCTCCGTGCCCTTCCTCCTCTACCCTTCGGGCATGGACCCTCTGAGGGGCCCCGGGCTGCTGCCCTACCTGGCCCCCTTCCACCACCGCGGCCACTTCAGCGTGTACGAGTGTCCCTTCGAGCCGGCCTTCATCCAAAAGCGCAACGAGCGCGAGCGGGCAGAGGGTGAGGTGCGTGAACCAAGGCTACGCCAAACTCAGGGACCACCTGCCGGGTCAGAGCGCCGACAAGCGCCTCAGCAAGGTGGAGACGCTGAGGGCCGCCATCAGGTACATCAAGTACCTGCAGGGCCTGGTGGAGGTGGAGGAGAGTCTGACGGAGAACTGAGGACAACTTCCTGTTTGACTTGAACGGAGGCAGAGACACCCGACGGCTGCTCCTCTGTGGACGTGCATTAGAAGGACCAACAGCTATTGCAATAATTACAATAAAAATAGATGCATTAGACATTTATGTGTTTTTATTAGTGCAGAGTGTCTGAACCGGAGAGGACAGAACAAACACTGGGACTAAAAACGAGCCACTTACTACTTTTCCATTTCTTGTTGCAGAGCTTTTACTCT